CTAGCAAGATTATAAACCTGGTGCTAAACTAAGAGAAGCCACAAAATCAGTTTGAATAAGAGTAAACATTTACTCACCAAGTCAGTGTATCAGGTAAAGATCCACAGCAATGACAACAATAATATCTTGAGCTGAAGCTTTTCCAGATTTGCTCAACATATTCCATAACAAATGCTGGCACCATGAACATGCAGACTGATCTGTGCTAGGGAGGAGGACGGTAATAACGTGGCATTTTCAAAACACATCTTTCATCCTTCCGCACTGAGAAGCAAAACTTCCATCTTAGTTTTTCTAAGTTAAGACAACTCAAATAAATTGAGTTTATCAGCATTTTTGCATAAAAAGTACTGTAACTTATTTAAATCGAGTTCTAATAACAAATTGATAAAAATTAAGTTCAGCCTATTTAATAATTTTAATTAAACACAATATTAGATTTTACAGTGGAGAGGTTTGTCTGCAAAAAATGCATCTACAAATAGTTGAACAATTTGAAAGAATAATGCTTCTCAGTGCAAAATTATAAAGGCTTGATCTACAATTTCATGATATACAATGTATAATAGCATCAAAAAGTTCAGAAATCTGTGTGTGTATCTAAGTCAATATGAGATGTCCGTGATCTTCAGGCCCTCATGATTCTAGCCTGAAAATCACTGCATGGGCACGGGAGCACTTCCAGAAATCAAAATGTGAAATTCTTTAGGAAAAAATGGATGTCACATCCTCCAGATAAGAGGAGAGGAACCATCCAGTTTAGTATCAGCACTCAATGCAAAAGCCTCCATCTCTAATAATATGTGGATGCATTAGTGCCTATGGAATTGGAGCTTCCTCGAGAAAACCCAGGAGTGTTGAACAGCTGAATATGTGGTAAACATGACCCCGTTTAGTTTTTGAAATATGTTTCTGCCATCAAATTTAAAAATTACCCTTTTTTTCTTAAGAGATACATTTTCCCAGTTTAAACATTTGATATTTCTTCTGTGTTCTATTGTAAATAAAATATGGCTTCATGAACTTTTACAATGGGCACTGTAATTGTACATCTGGAAAAGGACTAAAAAAATATTCTTGGATCACCTGTTGTAAAAATATAGACACACCTACACACACATACAGTGGGGCAAAAAAGTATTTAGTCAGCCACCGATTGTGCAAGTTCCCCCACTTAAAATGATGACAGAGGTCAGTAATTTGCA